GATCTGTTTCACACATTATCGATCATGTTTTTACAATAAATTAATAATTATGTTAATTTCATTCAACAACCATGTAAAACAGCAGATTTATACCAGAAAAATATATAATTTATAAGTAACAATGATCTAAACCAGACCTGAAATCAGCCTGTGATTTAGACTTTTTAGCTAGTTGACAAATGATGACTTCAGCAAGTAAAGTATATTTATTATTTCTTCTTACTGTCAAAAAAAATAAATAAGAATATTTATATTTACCAGTCAACAGTTAGAAAATGTTCTCTGGTTATAGGATGAAACTTGTCTGTTAGCTAAACACCTTAGCAGGTCAGGTTCCTCTAACAGAAACCTAAAAATACTCACAGTTATAATATTATTTTACACTCTGTAGGTCTAAATATTAATCAGAGGACAAATCAGCTGTAATATTTAAAAGTTTGTGTTAAACTGTAGCATGATTCAACAGTGCTAATCTCTGTATATATTCCACAAGCTAATATCTGCTAACCAGTTCAATAAATAACAGTAATTACATTGAATTTATAAGATTATTTTAATTTTAAACTGTTACATTATGTTCTGCTCAGATCACATTGAGCTAAATAAGATCAAATCTGCTGACTTGTGTTGTAAAATGAAACGTTTTCCTGTTTATCTTCTGTTAATAAATCCATAACACAAACAGCTTTTCTGACATTATTTAAAACATTAGATAGATTATATAAACTGTAAAATATTAATAGTAATTGGGTTAATGTTATTATTAAATTTTTTATGATTTCTACATCGTCAGTCCTTATTTCTGCTCTGTTGTCAACATGGACAGTAATGGGAAATCCAGACTCTTGATCGTTTAGCATTAGCCGTTAGCTTCACCAGCCGATCACACAGTCACGTGGTTTCTGAGCACTCCAGCTGTTCTATATAAACTCCTTGTTCCTTCCTCATTTAGTTTCTTGTTCTGTTTTAAGCTCCTCCCACTTTACCTTTGACTGATGGCTGAACGAGATGCTTACTGTGCAATGAAGTCATGTTGAATCTTAACATTTTGCCCCAATTTATTGTAAGTATAATTATCTCCAAACAAGGTTCCATGTATGGTAAGACCATGACAGCAACCTACGACCCAGAGAACGGGATGCCGATGTCTGCCACCAGCCTTTGGTTCGGAGAAAACCCTCTAGCTGAGTGTCAGCCAAATCTGTCCCCCGCCGAGCTCGCCAAGCTCTACCAGCCGCTGTCTCTAGTGGACAAAGCAACCAACAACGCAGGGTAGAATCAGAAAAACTGAATTTGTAAGTAGTTTTTTTTCTACAGAACTGTCTGACCGGTCGTTATAACTGACAGGTGGCTGGACTCGTCGCGTTCTCTCATGGAGCAAGACATCCAGGACGACGACAAGCTGCTGCTTCGCTTCAAGTACAACGTCTTCTTTGATCTCAACCCTAAAGTAAGATAGTGTTCCTTTTTGTTGGGTAAACTCCCCGAAACAAGAACAAAAGCGGTCTTGGAGTGAAGTTGTTGGTCTAATCTTATGTTTGCGTGTGTCTTTTAATGCTTCAGTACGATGCTGTGAGAATAACGCAGCTCTACGAACAGGCCCGCTGGGCCATCCTGCTGGAGGAGATTGACTGCACTGAAGAGGAAATGTTAATGTTTGCTTCTCTGCAGGTGAACCAGATATCTTGGCTTTAACAATATCTTAAATGTTCTAGGATCAGTCAGTGAGGTGACTGTACAAAAAAATTGATTAAACCCCCAAAAATTGTGCCTTAATTGTATTATCTGTATATTTCTGTGCAAATTTTGACAATATTGTGTAAATTTGTTTAAAGGGAACCTATTATGCAAAATTCACTTTTTAAAGGTTTTTTTACTTAATTTTGGGTATGTACTTCTTAAAAAACAGTCCTAGGACCAAAAAAAAAATGCACCCAAGGGCATATTTACTGTAAGTAAATGTATTTTTAATGTATATTAACGACAAGTTTTATACTTCCGTTATTTTGTGATGTCACAAGCCGTACGACAACCCACCGGAACCTGCGTTCAGCCCCTTACCTAGCAAACCCTGGGTGAGACTCCACCTCCTCAGTGTAAAAAGCCGTCACCGTGTTGTTGTGTAATGCACAGCTCATATCACAACAAACCTCCAATAGGGCAATGGGTAGAGTGTTGGACCAGAGAGTGGGAGACMAGGGTTTGAGACTGGCATGGACACAAACAATTTAATTATTTATTTTCATTCGTTATGAACACATTTTCTCATGTACCTCTATTGTTTAGCTTATTAAAGCCTTGTTAAAGCCTATTTGTTCGAGTTTCTGAGGTATTTTGACCGCTGCTGCTCCCTGCTCTGGTAACAGCATGCAGAGTGAGGGCAGAGCAGAGGGAGAAAAAGAAGCTGGGACCACGACTCTGCCTCTGGGTCTCATATGGTTGTACAACAGAGCTTCTGCTATTATTAGC